AACTGACTTCGGCTCAGGTCATGATCTCAGGGTTCGTGGGTCCCAGCCACACATGGGTCTCTGTGCTGACAGCTCGGAGCGTGGAGCCTGCTTCAGATTCTGTGTCTCCCTCTCTCTGCCCCTCCCCCACTTGTGCTCTGTGTGTGTCTCTCTCTCTCAAAGGTAAATAAAATGTAAGAAAAAAAATTAAAAAAAATAGTTTTTCCTAGCACCTCTAGGTGCTCGATGATGACAAAACAGGTGGCAGTTTCTCACCTCGCATGATGCCTACGTGATACGTGAGCCAAGCGAAAATCCGCTGCACGTGCTTACACACACACACACACACACACACACGCCCACGGGCTTCCCACGCCCACCTCATTCCAGGGCCCCGTCTTCCACTGGGAGGGGCAGGGCGCTCTGTTGCAGGGCCGGCGGTTCTCGGGCCTGTCGCCCGCGCAGTACTTGCTGTGCACAGAGCGGTTGGTGCCGTCGCGCAGCGGCTGCAGGCAGCGCACGGTGCGGAGCTGGTAGCCGGTACTTCCGCAGGTTTTGGTGCAATGCTCCCACTCTTCCGCGACCCAGCTGCGGCGTGGGGGTTAGGATTGGACATGGTCACTGCGTGTCATGCACCTTCCTGCCCCGCAGCCTAGCCTTTTCTGCTCTCTGAGCGACGCGCCACCCAGGGGGCGCGCTGCAGTTCCGGAAGCAGTTTCAGAAGGGTGGATGCAGCAAGCAATTCCCAAGTCTTAGAATTTTCTAGCAGCAATAGGCCAGACACTTCTGTTTTTAACGCCTTAGTATTTTTCTGCTTCCCACTGACTTGGAAACCTGTTTTTCTATAGGGTGATCGACAGAGGGTTTCTGAAACTCATCTTAAGGTTGCCTGGTTAGGTTCGGGCATTATAGCAATTTTTAAAAAATACACCAACTCACTGTCAGCCGGGTGGCCTAATGGTGGTACACAACTGAAAGGAAATTTAAAAAGGGAATCCATCCGACACTTACTGAGACAAACTGTTTTGGCTGCTGCTGCCTTTTCAAGAAATCCTGAGTCCACTCACGTTTTAGTATTCTTACTGAGATGACTATTTCATTTGTACAATTGTTGCTGAGAAGGCTCCCTGTCATATCTATCCTGTTTGGAAAATTCAGCTCTCCATATTGGCCCTGATTGGGCTTGACAAAAAGGCAAAGGTAGTGTGCATCCTGGGCTTGAATACACCCGATGGAAAGTTTTCTAAAAAGGTATTTTCAGAAAGAGTTGCCATGGGACGTGGCCAAATTCTGGTGTTGATGTCAAGGCCCCCAACACTCTCCACATCAGCTGTGGACACAATATTATGGATCCAGGTTCCAAAGGGCTGTCACCACAGATTCCATTTGGTTAATCATGTCTGTCAAAATGTAGTTGAGGCAGACTATTATTTATCCTTTCCAAAGCTACCTTCCCTCTGTATTTTTTTTTTCTTTCCATATACATGGGGTACCAAAGTATAACCATGCTAAAGCCTTGGCAGTTTTTGGTATTCACAGTTTAAGATCGCTTTAGCCCACCAAACTGGCATAAAACATAGTGCACCAACTAAGAAATTGTTCTCAATTTTAAAGGCCTCAATACTAACTCTCACTGGAAGACAGACTATTATACAAGAAGTATACATTTTGTTGTCATAGATAATCCTGGTTACCTTTTTCCCCTCCTGAAAATCCTAGAATGACAACAAAGGAGAAAAATAGCATAAATCCACAAAGGTAAACAAAAAATGGAATAGAAGACACTAGAAGAAAATTTGGAACCCAGAAAGCAGTGGGACATATGGCTGCTAACTCAGTAGACCTAAGGATGAAGTTTAACTCAGCAGTAGAGGCTGGTTAAGCAAATTGACTTGCTGGTGGAACTTCAGAAATGTACTGGATTATGCCCTTAGGTCAAAGTGTGGGCTGTGAAACTGTGGGTGAAGGCAGGGCTGAAAACAGGGGGCTGATGAAATGTCTGCTTAGAAAAGACATCCTGCTCCTTGCCCTCTAAGCCAGCAGGAGGTTTGAGGCTTATCCTATGTGGACGATGAACGAGACTTGTAGCTTGTGGACAACAGATATAGGCAAGAGACAACAGAGAAAGAGACCAAAGTGAAGACAGGGGGTGATGTAAGAATCCACATATGGAATGGTGAGACAACCCTAGCTCCCTACATATATACAACTTCCTATATAAATAGGGCTATAACCCCTAGGCAGGAAATTGATTCTGCTCTTTGGAATCTGATCATTTCATTAAAAGCCCTAATACACAATTAATTGAGGATCTTCACCGAAATAGCCCAGCCAGCTCACCCTACAGGGAAGCCCACCAGCAAACAAGTCTTGACCATAAAGCAAGCTTCCAAGCAGCCCTTTTAACACTTCATTCTTACACATGTGTGAACAGCCGATAATCACCAGACACAGCCTCTAACACAAATGATGGAGAAGAGAAAAGAAACAGAAGGAAAGAACTCAAAAGAAATAATACATAAAAAAGAAAATCATCTTTAATATCATAAAAGAGGTAAAGAAATACATTACATCTGTGAAATAAGCATCAAGTGCCTTTAAAAAGGAACACTTGAGGAAGAAAACAGAGTGCTTGAATATTAAAGTGCTCTTAGATATTAATGACATGATAGCAAAAATGAAAAATTCAGCAAGTAGAATAAATAATAGGTGAGAAAAGAAAAGAAAATTTGATCTGTTTAGGAATCCTAACTACAGATATCTTAGGAAAAAAGAACATTGAAAAAAATAGGGGACATTTTTTAAAGAAAAAATACAGGAAAATCTCCTAGAGATGAAAGATAATTGGTTTTGTGTTTTAAAAAGTCATGGAGTGCACAGCACGATGGAAGAAAAATGTTTAGCAAAAGGCAGTCCCATCACAGTGAAATTTCAGGACGTTGGGAACAAAAAAAGATCTTACAAACTTTCAATGACAGACAAAACTAGAAAGCATTGGGAACCAGAATAGCAAATGACTTTTCAACAGCAACATGGGATTCTAGAAAACAATGAAACAGTGGTTTCAAAATTCTGAAGGAAAATACATTACAGTTTGGAATTTTGTGTGCGTGCGTGTGTGTGTGTGTGTGTGTGTGTGTGTGTCCAAATGATCAAGAGTGAGGGTAGAAGAAAGACTTCCTATATACCCTTATACTTCAAATTCTTATCTACTTTTCTTAGGTGTAGGAGAACTTCTTATATAAACATTTTTACTTTGTATATACTTTTTTCATGAAGCTACTGGAAGATATGACCAACCAGAAAAAAATGAATACATGAAAAGATAAAAAGACAAGAAATACAGGAAACAGAAGAGCTGATGCAAAAGAAAGGGAGTAGGAATACCTAGGAAGAGGTAAAAAGAAACATCAGGACGAGCAGAAGTCCAGGAGGGCAGAACTGGAACTTTCTGAGTGAGATCTCTAAGAAGTTACAAGTGACAGGATACTTGAGTGTTTAGTATTTATAGGAGATGGATACTCATGGAAGACAGTTTAGGGATGAATTAGTGAAAATTAGTAGAAAACAAAATATAAAAAATCAAGACATTCAATAATTCTAGAACAAAGTTTCAATAGGAAAAAAAGGAGCATGCTAGTAAGTGACTCCACTATTAGAAGAGACAGAAGTCGTTAAAATAATATAAACGCTGAATATTATTATCAGTAAAAGATGGGTTATAACAATATTAGAAATATGGAGGGAGATAAGTCTGGGCTGTGGGTGTCTATTTGGGGAAGGATTATGAAAGAATGCAAAATCCTTCACTTCCCACGTTGGAAATTCCATATACATAATGTCCAAAACCTGCCCCACCCCAAAAAGTCAAGTGGACACAAAAACATTTTACTTAGAGAGTTGGAAACAAGTAGTTACCAAATACCAAGAGAAGCTAGAAAGTGGTTGTTTTTAAGGAGCAGGACTATGGTAAAGGGCAGGGAGCCACAGCTTTATATAATTCCTATAAAATGATTTGACTATTTAAATCTGCTATGTACATTAGCTTTGACTAAAAATAAAATTAAGGGGTGCCTGGGTAGCTCAGCTGGTTGAGCATCTGACTCTTGATTTTGGCTCAAGTCATGATCCCAGGGTTGTGGTATGGAGCCCATGTCAGACTCTGCACTGAGCATGGAGCCTGCTTGAGATATTCTCTCTCTCTCCCTCTCTCTGTCTCTCTCTCTTTCTCTCGCTCTATCTCTTCCCTCCCCTCTGCTCCTCTACCTTACTTGTGTGTGCTCTGTCTAAAATAAATAAATAAATAAATAAATAAATAAATAAATAAATAAATAAACAAACAAACAAACAAACAAACAGACTAAAGATATTTACATTTCTATCATTTTGTCTTTAGTGTATGATAATTAACATGACTACTTACAGTGGATGTGTGCACTCTTGAATATTGCACATTCTTCTGATAGGTTTTGGCTTTTTGTTGGCCTCACAGAAACTGCGGTGAACCATTTTATTATCACTCTTCCGACGGCATCCGTATTTAGTGTACTGGAAACCTGGGAAAGGAAATACATTTCTCTGGATTTAATCACTTCTTCATTCTGTGATATATCTGATCGATCATTCATTCATTCACTGAATATTTACTGAGTACATACAGCAGGCCAGGCACTGTTGTAGATGCTGAAGATCCAGAAGTAAATTAAATAAACAAATCCTTAACTTTTCAGAGCCTACGTTTAATAAATATTATAAATTATTAAATAGCACCTGTACATGTGTTAATGAACTAGACCCTGAATACACACCATCTACTGTGAGGGGCAGATTTGAGAACCATGGTGATAATACCCAGTGACACAAGCTTTCAGAGAGTTATGTAAGTAATTTACTGTAGAGGGCACCAAAGGAACACAGAGGAGAAGTTCTCAAACTCAGCTGGAGGAGAGGCAGGGAGCGCTTACAAAACCAGCATTTCTTGAACAGAATCTTGAAGTTCAAATAATATTGGGTAAAGGGAATGAAGCAGAACAATACTCCAAGCAAAGGAAATGACACATAAAAAACTGAAGATCTGTTTGAATGCCCAAGTTTCAAGTGTGAAAGGGGTAGGAAATAGGAAAGACTTCAATCTTAAAAGCCTTGAGTGACAGACTAGTGTTTGGACTTTATCTTGATGGTCATAGGGAGTTTTTGAAGGTCTCTCCAATCACCAACACTGACATCTCTAAGTAAGTAAATAAATAAATATAAATATTTTTAAAAGATCGTTTAAAAAATTTCAAACCTACAAAAATGCTGTAAGGAAAGCACAATGAATATTTGTATCCCTTATATCTCAATAATCTTGTGTTACATGTCACTGTATTTGAGGTGAATACAAACATATTTTTACATCTGTGATATATTAATTATACTATGCAATGTATGTAATATATATGTAAAATTTTGTGGAACCATTTGAGAGTAAGTCGCTGGAATTCTGATCCTTCGCTTCTAAATACTTCAGCATACTGCTCATAACCAGCACATCTCTTATATAATTCTTAAAATCAGAATACTTAACATAGATATAATGCTATTATCTAATATACAGACTATATTCAAAATTTTCCAGTTTTCCTTATAATGATCTTTACAGCAATGTTTTTTCCAATTAAGGGTTATGCACTGCATTTAGTTGTCATGGAATTAAGCAGGAATCGTTTCTGAGCATCTTTTTATCTTGAATATTTTTGAGACGTATAGGCTATTTGTTTTGTAAAATGTCCCACAATTTGGGTTTCATATAGTTGCCTCCTAATGATTAGATTCAGGTTATTTACTTTTGGCAAGAATACTACATAAACTATGCTATGCCTTCAGAAGAACACATTAGGATGTTAAAGGAGTTAAATCAGGGAAATAATAAACTTCCACTCATTCATTCATTCATTCATTCATTCATTCAATTACCCTGGAAATAAAGGAAGAGCAGAAGATCAAATTAGACTATTTAAAAGACTTTTGCAATAATCTTCCCTTTCAAAATCATGCAGGAAACCTGGTGAGGAATAAATAGATGTGGTAGATATTAAAAAGGTGCTTCTGACAAATCTTGTAACCAAGTAGATGTTGAGGGTGAGGCAGAAGGGAAGATTCAAATTAAATGAGCATCTTATAATGGATTAAGTATCATTTTAAATAATTAATTGAAAACATTTTATGCCCTGTCTACCTCAAAAAAAAAAAAAAAAAAAAAAAAAAAAAAAAAAAAAAAAAAAAAAAACCTCTTCAGACACACATCCTTGAATTAAAATGATAAAATAAATGGTTGATGTATGCATTCCCTACTCTGAATAATATTTTTTGTTCTCAATTACTCAACATCATCGTTGTGAAAGCCCCTTGCCTTCTCCTGCCTGTTAGGGAAAATTTCTTCTAGGCCAGCTCAGTTCTGGAGCATTTATTGTTCAGAACTAGAGTAAGGGACGAAGTGAGAAACTAAAAAAACTCTGAGAACAGCTGAACAGATTAACTTGGGAAAGGGCAGAGAGGCGGCACAATGTAGTGAGAGCATGTAGCCAGAAGAAGCCAGACCACCTGGGTTTGTATCTTCTGATCTGGGCACATTACTTATTTTCCCCGGGGGCTTCACTTTCCCCGATCAGTACAATGAATCATAGTGCTGACCTCACAGAATCATTCTGAGTATCCATGCACTAATACACTGAACATTTAAAACAGCACCTGCTACCTGGTACAACTAATAGCTCCTTTATTATTAACACTGATAGAAAAGAAATGCACAGATATGGAAAGTAAAATGGAGAAGAAGAAAGGCTGGAACCACAGGACACAGCATTTGGGAGAGCTGGGGAAGAGTAAAGCCATTAGAGGCCCCATTTCATGAATATGAGACAAAAAGAACCGGAAGGAAAAGAGCAAGAAGATTTTAAGAAGGTTTCCAGTTGTCATGAATGGACTCCTATCCTTTGTAGATTCAGAGATTTCAGTAAAAATGTTTTGTACTTATGTTTTGTTGGTATGTTTGCTATTTCTCAGATCGCAGCCTCAATGAGAGGCAATCTTTAAGGAAGAAAGCACAATAACTGGTGTTCTATGAATGACATTTGAATGTGATAAATGTGTTCAATTGTTACCTCCGCCACAGGGTTTGGAACACTGAGACCAGCTCTTCAAAGCCCACTCAAAAGTATCTAATTCTTCCTGGATGACATTGTTGCTGCTGATTGTAGGTGCAGAATCTTCATGAATGACGTATTTATATGTCAGGCTGGAGTGGGTGTCGTTCTCCTGAGGTATGATCTAATATACACATGGAACAGATAGGTAAGTCACCTGAAGAGGTTTTACATTTTGAATAAAAATTACAAATATTTTAGAATAGTGCTCTTATTAAAACTGGAAGACTTTCAAGCAGTTTCTAAAAATACAATGTTTCTATCACCTAAAGTGCAAGTATGCCTTGTTTAAGAAAAAAAATGCAAATATAAAAGACTTGGACCATAAAAAGTATAAAAAATATACTTAGGTATAAGATTTACATAATAAAAACGTAACTTCACAATATGATTCACCATAGATTTCTTTAATATATACATTAAGTTATAGATCTCCTTTTGCATTTGAAAATTATTCTTTAAAGTAACTCTTTTGTCATGATGGTAAATATAATGTTCCCTCCAGAAAATGTAACCATTATAGAAAAATCTAAAGAAAATAAAAATTATCCATGATTCTACCAAACCAGAGAAAACCAAAGTAACTTCTGTTATTTTGCAATATGCCCTCAAGATATTTGCATATTGCGCGCGCGCGCGCGCGTGTGTGTGTGTGTGTGTGTACCCATGCATGCTTTTCTGGCTTTGCTTATTTCACTTAATGCATCAAGATAGTAAATGTTCTTTGAAAACATACCTTTAAATGTCAGCAAAGTGTTTAATTCTAAAGGTAGTGTGCATTATTTAACCATTCACTTGTTAATATATACTTGTATTGATTAGAATTTGTCCCCATCTTTGTGGTGAGTTCTGATTTTCCTAGTGAGCTGAAGGGTATAAGCATTTTGTTGTTGTTGTTCTTATAATAGACTGGGGAATGGCCCTTCAAAATAGTTAGAACAATTATTACTTTCATGATGAGAGTATATGAATGTACCCATTCAGATGACATAGTATATAATTGTCATCTTTGTTCATTGATAGGCAAAAGATTGCTATTTTAATTGTTATTTATTTGATAAATACTAATGTTTAACTTTCTTGGTTTATTAGTCACTTGTGTTTTGTCTGCTATACGCTACATGTTCATGTCTTCTTTTTTATTGGTATACATATCTTTTTCTAAATAATTCACGCAATAAGGAATTAATCCTTTTGTAATAAGCATTGCAAATATATTCTGTTTTTTCAGTTTGTTCTTTAATTTTGTTTGGGGCAATGTAACTCTTTTTAAAAAAATAAGTTTTTATTGACTTGCACATACTAGCTTTTATACGATTACATCAGTTATACAAAGAGAAAAACATGCAATTCACTAGTATTTTAAACTAAACTTTTAGAAATAGCTTTTGCTTGAGAAATTGGGTAATACTAAATCCAACTAGAATGAAGGATTTGGTTATCTGGCTTCTGTTTTATTTTTCTCCCTTAGTCTTTATTTTTAAAACAACATTACAAACCAAGCATTGACCCTTACACTGTAGCCAGATGCCTACTGCCTTCAGCCCCAGACAGCTCGCTGCCATGCTCCAGGGTTCCCAACCTGGGGTCCAGCCCTCTAGAGAGGAAAAGAAAGGCTGAGGTGATAGAGACTGCCATACCCCACTGTCCTAACTACCGATCTCATATCTGATATGCGATCTGTAGCTCACATCTTACATCTCTAGCTCACATTGTTCCCTGCCGTCACCCAGATATCAGTGGACAAAGCCTTGAGGTAGGTTATCCTGGCAGTTAACAGCAGTTAACCATGAGGCCTGTGCCACTGGAAAAGAATGCAGTGTAATTATATGAATGGAATAGAGCTTCTGATCTCCAATCATTCGAATTTAATAAAATTTTGATTAGTTATATTTTTGCTATGAAATTATATAACGTATGGAGCAGAAAGACAGAAATAAACCCCCATAAATTTGAACAATTAATTTTTGACACAGATGAAAAGAAAACTTAATGGAAAAAAGAGGATTTTTTTCAACAAATGGTACTGGAACAAGTCATTGTGGTGGCTTTAAAAATGTGTCCACAAATCCTTTGATCCTTTTTCTCTCAATGAGTGAAGTTTAATTCTTGTCCCTTTCAGTGTGGGCTGGATTCAGTGACTTGCTTCCAGCAAACAGACAACAGGAGAAGTGATGGGATGTCACTTCCAAGATTAGGTTAAAAAAGACTCTTCTGTCTTGGCTGTACTCTGTCACTTGGATCACTTATTCTAGTAGAAGCCAGCTGTCATGTGCTAAGGACACTTAAGGAGGCTATGAAGAGGCTCACGTAGTGAAGAACTCAGGCCCACCAGCCACCACATGGAAACGCTTAGAGGAAATCTTCTGAGGCCTTCCAATAGCCCTGTGACAGAGCTAGGAAGCAGATGTCCCCAGTGGAGCCTTGGGGTGACTAGCCACAGCTAACAGCAACCTCATGAGATACCCTGAGCCACAACTAGCCATTTCAGCAGCCATTTTCAGCCAAATACATGGCCCACAGAAACTACGAGAGAATCAGTGTTGCTTTGTGCTTAGCTACTAAGTTTGGGGTAATTTGTTATGCAGCAATAGGTAGTGTAGACTGCCATATGCAAAAATAAGAACCTAACACATCACACAAAGTTTATATAAGAATCAACTCAAAATATAAAATATAAAACTATAAAACTTCTACCAAAAAAAAGAAGAAAATACTTTAACATTGGATTAGGCAGGAAAAAAATGTATATAGAATACCAAAATCTTGATCTATAAAAGAAAAAATGGATAAATTAGACTTCAGGAAAGTTAAAATATTTTGCTCTCAAAGACACTATTAGGAGAACAAAAATAAACTATACATTACGAGAAAATATTTGATAAATCATATATTTTATAAAGATTTATAATATAAATCATATATTTTATATCAAGTATATGTAACAAACTCTTAAAACTCAACAAATAAAAAAAAAAAAAACCAAAACCTACTTCAACAATGGGCAAAGGATTCGGACAGACACTTCACCAAAGAGAAATAATTTTCAAAGAGTATAAAAACACCTTGGAATTGAGTAGAATGCTTTGGCTTTAAGTTAGTATAATATTTTCTATAGAGAATTCAATAAATATTTGCATACAGAATCCAACAGTATTTTTCAAATCAAGTAGATGTCTTCTGTTTTCATTCACGAGAGAGTAATGAGTTGTCTTGCTGATATTAAAAGCAATAAAACTGGGCAGGATATAGGAAGGAACTTTTTGGGGGGCACTGTATAACACAGCAAAGGATAGTGATTCCAACAAGAAGAGAAACATGCCAGGTCCCAGCTTCCTGACGGGGCCAGGTTCTGGACGCTGGCGCAGGGAACAGGAGGCTAAGCCAAAATAGCAATCTCACTGAGATGAGGAGATGGAGGGTGGTGTTTGGAAATTGCAGGCAGGACACTAAAGAAGGGGCTACACAGAGGGGTGGCTCAGAAGCTGCATTAATCCTAGACTGAAGGCTGGTCTGTGCATGCCCCAGCCAAGACACCATGCCGACTACTACTGAGAGGCTGCTGTGGGGCTGGGACTAAGACAGGCAGGGCTAACGACATAGGAGTTCTTTTATAGCTAGATGAAGAGACCTCACTAACACTTCAGGTAATCAGTTAAGGTATCAAACAGGCCATGCCATTAAAATAAGGACAAAATTGAAACAGATCAGCCCTAACAAAGCATAAACCAGGCTCCAAAAATCAGGAGAAAATGACAGCCTGAACAAAACCCAACAGCTTGTAAAGAAGGTAACATAGGGCCTCCTGGGTGGCTCAGTCAGTTAGGCATCCAACTCTTGATCTCCGCTCAGGTCGTGATCTCACAGATAGTGAGTTAGAGCCCTGCATTGGACTCTGGGCTGACAGCATGGAGCTTGCTTGGAATTCTCTCTCCATCTCTATCTTCCCCTACCCCACTTGTGCTCTCTCTCCCTTTCTCCCTCTCTCTCTCTGTCTCTCTCTAAATAAATAACTAAACTTTAAAAAAAAAGGAGGCAACATAAACCAAACACCCTACAACTTACCATCTATAATGTCCTGTGTGCACTTAAAAATTTCTCATAAGTAGGAAAATGTGACACATACTCAAGAGAAAAAAGCAGCCCATAGAAGCAGACAACATGAAGACATGGGACTCAAAGAAAACATTAGACATAATGGGTGAACTATATGGAAATCTCAGCATAGGAATGGAAATGATTTTTTTTGGGGGAAAAAAAAAAAGGACCAAGTGGAAATTCTAGAAAAGAACACCAACTGACATGAAAAATTTACTGATGCGCTCAACAACAGATTGAAGACCACATAAGACACAGTGAACTTGAACACAGCTCAATAGCAATTATCAAATCTGAAGAACAGAGAAAAAAAAATGAGTACAGAAGGATGAACAAGGTCCAGGAACTTATGGAACAATCGTGTAAATGAGGCCTAGGAGAAGAGGAGTGAGAGATGGGGGAAAAACACACTTGTGGAATCAACCCAAATTTGGTAAAAACAAACAAACAAACAAACAAACAAACAAACCCCCAAAAAACCATCAAACTTAGATCACCAAGATGCCTGGTGAAACCCAAGCCAGATACAGACAAAGAACATCACAAACTAAGCATATCACAGTCAAACAGCTAAACCAACAAAATGAAACAAAACAAAAGATACGGAGAAAATCTTTAAAAGGTAGCCAGAGAAAATGGATACTTCACATACAGAGCAGCAATATGAATGAGGCTGACTTCTCATCATAGATGATGGATTGTAGAAGACAAGTGTCACGTAAATGAGCCAAAGATGGCTCCTGCGTGTTGGCCCCTACTTTTGTTTCTTCGGAACAGGCTCAGACCTTTTAGCTCAGAAGCCTGCTAGCACCAAACTCAAATTTTAACACACACAGTTCTTTTAAATATAGCCCAAACAAGCACATTTGTATCCATTTTAGGCCCTGTTACTTAGCATACCCCTATGAAACCGCACTCAACATTTGCTAACTATAAATAAGACTATGGCTACAAGGACCCCAAGCTGCTGCTGCTCTGTGGAGGACTCAGTACAGAGACTCCCCATTATGCTGCTGAGTGACATCGCCTAACCAGAAACACCCCCTCTCCAATCCCTTCTCTTCCAGGAGTTCCTTTGTGCATCTCTGCTGGATGGTGGCCCTGCACTCAAACCTGCTCAATGGTCAATAAGGCTTGTGCATGCTGCTTCCACCCTGTGGTCACGCCTACTTTCTTAGTGACCCCTCCAATTCCTTGAACTCCCTCTAACAGGGTAAAAATATCCCTTCTCTCTCTCTGCCCCTCCCCCGCTCATTCTTTCCTTCTCTCTCTCTCTCTGTCTTAAAAAGAAAAATAAATAAAAAATTAAAAAAAAAAGAAATGGTAAATATGTGGGTAAATATAAAAATCTCTCTTCTCTTTTGTCTTTGCCACATAACTGATTACTAAAAATCAGCAATCATACTACATTATTGGGTTAAAATGTACATATAATAAAATATATGACCAAGTTGCACAGAGTAGGGACAGGCAGATAAATGGAATAATATAAAAACAAGCAACTAAATATACAATGTTTAGGGTAAAAGTGTTTTCAGACCAAGTAATTATAAAACTAAAATGGACATAAATTAAACCCACTACATCATGAGTCTGTAATACCACATACCAAAACAATAACAGGATCGTGTAAAGGTCCATCTGTGTGAAGAGTTTCAATGTCATCTTCAATGTTATAATCCCATTCCACACCAAGATCAATGAAGGTCCGTGACTTGGCTTCCTCCCCTTTGCCATTCAGAATGTAGTGGCCTGTAGCCTGGTTCTTAATAGCTAAAGGAAGAAAAATGAGTAACCAGCATACATTTTATTTTATCATATTGTAGTTTTGGTGATCCATAGCAAATCTATCCCCTTTTAAGCACCAAAGCAATCAAAATGAGTGTTAGTTCCGGTATGATTCCCATTCCAGTCATTAGGCATTCAAAATCCTCAAAAAGCACTCCCTCGCTAATCAAAAACAATGGCAAAACGGTTAAATGGGAGATAGAAATGGGCAAATATTCCTAGTTGAAAACACTGTCAAAAAGGTTAATGGTTTCTAACTCACTCTTCCTATATATTTCCTTAGAAAGCTGGGAATATTTTGAGAATTATGGATATTTCTATAATAATGAACATAAATCATTTATGTTAGGACAGCATATAATAGAACACCTTCTTTACTGTGCATCTCTTTCAAGTTTGTAAAAATATTTATAAATATCCAACATAGTTGAACTAATTTTTAGGTAAATAAACAATTAGTTCTTATGTTTGTGAAATGCCAAGGCCACATCTCTACTTGTATGGCTAGAAAAAGCTGTTTATTGATGATAGAATTCTTAATGCATTACAGGCATACTATATATTATTTAAAAATGCTTTCTCTAATGGATAAAAAATAGCAAATGGGATTCTAAAGTTTGGAGGTATTTATCAGCACATAAAATAAAAGCTCATGTTACTACCATCTATTGAAAATGTGTAGAAAACATGAGCAATCTTAGTTAAATACATTTATTCCGCTTGAGCTTTCTAAAACAAGTCTGATGTTTCCAAGGAGAACAATCTGAATTCTAGGAGAAAAAATAAACAATTTGAATTATTGGAGAAAGAACTATGGTTGACTGCTAGACTATTAAGGAATCTAGCAGTGAATATAATTTAACGTTTATTTATTTTTGAGACAGAGAGAGACAGAGTATGAACAGGGGAGGGGCAGAGAGAGAGGGAGACACAGAATCTGAAACAGGCTCCAGGCTCTGAGCTGTCAGCACAGAGCCCGACGCGGGGCTCGAACTCACGGACCGTGAGATCATGAGCTGAGCCGAAGTCGGACGCCTAACCGACCGAGCCACCCAGGCGCCCCAAATATAATTTAAATACTAAAAAAATTCTATGGCACACCATAAAACAAATCATTTTTTTTTAAGCCACCCATTTGAAAAAAGAAAAAGCAATTTGAGAGGCAAATTTTCATGGGATTGACAGATGCAACCTGAGTTCAGAGAGCTTCCTAGTGCTTTAATAGATCAGGGAACAAGTGGAAGTTAGGTTTACATTGGTACATAGACCTTTGAAGATAATGCCATTTTTACACGATCCTCTCATAAAGGAGGAAAAGAATCTTCTTGTGGAAATTATAAACAGCCATGCAAATGGATCTCCATGTGCCAGTCAGAAACCGGACATATAACTGGTATTAGGAAAATTTGCACTAGACTAGTAAAATTCACATGTGGTTGCTTTTCGGTAAAAGAACTTAAAATGCAATAAAAGTAAGGAGAGGCATATAGTATGGCATCAACCAAAATATCAGAACAAATTTGTCAACCTATATATGGCAAATTTTTCTGATATTCTTCCTTAATTTAATGCATTTTATTAACATACTTATTTTTCTCCTCCCCTTATACAGAGAAAAAGTGCATAAAAACCTTGTTAAATAACTTTTTTTCCCCACATAAACAATGGACCAACGCAGGTCTCACCAAAAATTAGAGCTCTGTTTTTGCATATTTCTTGTTTTAAAGAAAGAATAGTGGGGAGAAATGACCAACAAAAACCATATAGTAATGCATTTGTATGTAATTCTAACTCTTGCATATCTATGTATACATACACATATACGTATATATACACACGCATCTGCACACATATATATCTCTATATATATATGACTTCTTTGACATTTCTCTAAGGTCATGCTAAAGCAAAGCCAGCAGACAGGAACACTTACCAAGAATATGAGGAGAAGCCTCGTCTTCTTGGATTAACACATGTCTAGCACCAGGGGGTATATCAAACATCTTAAGGTACCCTTTGCATGTGTAGTAAATATCGGAGAAAGCAAAGAAGAAAACAAAAGCAACAACCATGGTTAGCCGAGCATGAAATTCTCACTGCTCCTGCACGCAGAAGAGGGCATCCATAAACTGACAGAAGCAGTTTCAGAAATTAACTTCAAAGCATTGGTAGTTTTTGTGACAACGGGCACGAGATTAGAGAAAAACTTTTTTTTTTTTTTTGTAATGGTGGGGAGAAATTAATCTTGCTCCCAATCTATTAGTGATTTATCTGGTATTGGACTATGAATTGTGTCAACAACAACTCCGGTAAATACTACAATTTCCTGTATACTTCTATGTGATTTTAGAGTTTGTTGTTATTGCAGTTAAGTTTGTTTGTTTGTTTGTTTATATCTGAGTATAGTTGACATACAATGTTACATTAGTTTCAGGTGTACAACACAGCGATTTATCAAGTTTATATATTACACAATTTTAGTTTTAATTTTCTAAATCACCCTGTTGAAGAGGGGCCAATTTTTGGTGAACTTGGTGGGTAAACTTCTTGAGATATTTTATCTATGTATTATTTTATTTTTTTAATTTTTTTAATTAAAAAAATTTTTTAACGTTTATTTATTTTTGAGACAGAGAGAGACAGAGCATGAACGGGGGAGGGGCAGAGAGAGAGGGAGACACAGAATCGGAAGCAGGCTCCAGGCTCTGAGCCATCAGCCCAGAGCCCGACGCGGGGCTCGAACTCATGGACCGCGAGATCGTGACCTGAGCTGAAGTCGGACGCTTAACCAACTGAGCCACCCAGGCGCCCCTAGTCTATGTATTATTTTAAAAGCCTAAGGGCAAGTATAGATAGCTAAACTTCTAATATGAAGTATCTTCATATTTAAAGCCTACTTTATTCTAAAGAAATTACAGAAGAAAGGGGTATCTGGGTGGCTCAGTCGGTTGAGCATCCATCTTGGTTTCAGCTCAGGTCATGATCCCAGGATCTTGGGATTGAATCCCACGTCAGACTCTGCACTGACAGCACAAACATGCTTAGAATTCTCTCTCTCTCCCTCTGCCCCTTTCCCCAACTCATATACTCTCTCTCTCTAAAATAATTATAAAAACCTACTCACCTAATCAATGAGTAGCTTTCATTTTTCTTGTAATCAGTCATTAATTTTAAAGCCTTAAGTTTTATCATGGGACAGTTTTAAAATACATTTTTTAGATGTGACCAAACCATTTGGTTGGAAAATGTCTGTAAGTTATGTCATACATTGCCTTTACATGGACCTTAAACTCAATTTTCTACTCCAGAAATCATGAAATCAATAGGCTGAATGGATTGCCTTGAGTTATAAAATCATACATCAATCCTATTATTGTCAATGTCATATAAAACAAATCTTAGTATTATCACATGTCCTAAAAATTATCTTAAGATGACTTAGAATTAAGATCTTAACTATAAATCAACAATAGGACAAATAGAAATCAAGATGTTGCATCTCATTTGCATCAAACAAATGAATATATGGAGATTATGCAACTAACACCTTATATTATGAAACATCCAATTTATATACTGCAGGATGAGTGACAGAAATTCAGGTATAAATTGTGTATTTATACAATCACATATCATCAGGAAGAAATACGCTTGTCATTTCTATATGGGCAATAAATATCTACCTATGGATAGCTTTCCCCAACTTTTTCACAATATTGGTTACTGTCTTAACTCAATGGCATAGTCATTTTGGGGTTATGGTTTTCAGTACCTGAGCCTGGGTACATTCCAGTCTGTGAACTGTGCTGGGTTTGTCTGAGTATGCAATGGCCAGAAGTAACGTGCTTAAGATGCTAAGGACAGCAAAACAGCTTGATGCCATTTATGGATGCCCATCTTTCTGCAGTTTGCTACAACTTACCCAGCACATTTTTAGCTTCCCTTGTTTCAGCAAGAGAAATATTACGAGCTCCTTTGGGTAAAGTGAAGGCGCCTCTTGTCTTCCCTTAAATAGAATGTTTTTAATTAGTAAAGGTTTCACGTTGACTCAACGTCTTGCTGTTTCACTGACCGTACTAGAAGCTATATAGTAATTTTATGTGTTGAAGTCAAATGCATTTATAATAGTTAGCTAATGCCAATAAACAGTTAGTAGTCAATGAAAGTAAGACTACATGTGAATAAGAAATGATAAAGGTGATTTGAAGTTGAATACTTGCAGATTTCATTTTCCAGCAACTTGAATTCTGTATGGCACCTCTTGCTTAAATGTTTCCCTGTTGGAAAACGTTAATTAGTCTACTGAGTGACTATGACAACATTAGTGCAAAGAAATGGATGTTAGTTTATCTTTGAACAGTTTGAATCAGTATGACTGATGAAATCTTTTCTTCACCTCTTCTGACCTTGGTTCAGAAGGCGGTAGGTTTAGCGTAATTTTTGAGGTATCTAAAAAAACATATCACTGCCTCCTACTACACATAATACAGAATGGATGATTAATGGCAAAAATTTTTTCTTTACATTAGTTTACTCTGGAAATAAAAGAATATGAGTGATTTTACACCAAAAAGAATAATGTAACTGCAATAGAGAAAGCAAAATTACTTCACAATAAGATGAAGAAAATTACATATTATTCCACCAAAACCACAATAAATGCTATAGTTTTAATTGTTTCCCTTGTTAAAATAATGTAATCAGCCAGATATGGCAATATTTATTTTTTAACCATTTAACCATTAAATTGACATACCACACAGGAATATCAAAAACATCAGTAATGATGTTACTGATGTCACTTTAGAATACAGTTCACCTAACTCTGCCCGCCCAAAATATATCAAAGATCATAACTGATATGTGTGCACTTGCCTTATGCTGCATAGTTGAGGTATAATGAGACTACAAAGAACTAAGAGAATTATTCCATTTGGATGAAGACTACCTTTCTAATACTTTCTTCTAAAAGGGAAAATGACTGCCATGACAGTGTGCTCAGAGTAAACCAAATTTCTTATCTTTATTTTTGCTTTGTTTTATTTTGTTTTTATCATTGTTAGAGACTCTACCAACTATAGAGGGATGATGTAAGAGAAGCTTCTCAAGGAAGCACTACATCAAATTTATCTTTAAATGCTGAATTCTCAGAAACATTTTCCCATAAATGCTTACTGAATAACTGAATAATATTTATTAGCAACTAAAAAGTTGGTCAGTAATAAATGTTTGTATCCAGATCTTTTATGAAAATTCCAATGAATAATTATAAAACCACTCATAATTTTGCATATTATTTGTGCTTTTTTTTTGCATCTACTGAAATTTTACTATATGCCTAAGCCCAGATCACTGACTCTGTAATAAACATTAAAGTTTATTTATTTTTGAGAGAGAGATTGGGAGGGGCAGAGAGAGAGAGAGAGGGAGACACAGAATCTGAAGCAGGCTCCAGGTTTTGAGCTGTCAGCACAGAGCCCGAAACTCAAAAACTGCAAGATCATGACCTAAGCCAAAGTCAGATGCTTAACTGACTGAGCCACCCAGGCACCCTTGTAATATAAAACATTTAGAATTATGTGAAATCTAGATTCCTAGATTTATAAATGGGATAAATTTTTTCACCTTTAAAATAAAAGCAGCAAAACTAATGAATATTTTTAAAGTTGTATTTAGAATTGTGTGTGTTTTTTTAACTTCCGATCAACAATTTATGTGAAAAAAATTTCAAAATAAGCATCAATTCTAGGGGTGCCTGGGTGGCTCAGTCAGTTGAGTGTCCGACTCATGATTTCAGCTCAAGTCATGATCGCAGGTTCATGGGGTAGAGCCTTGTATTGGGCCCCACATTGGGCTCCAAGCTGAGAGTGGAGCCTGCTTAAGATTTTCTCTCTCTCCCTCTCTGTCTACCTCTGCCCCTCTCCCCCACTTATGCTCTCTCTCTCAAAAAAAAAAAATCAATTCTAACAATTAGGTCTTATAAAAAACCTAAAACAAAACAAAACACATATTTTAGCTACCTACTATATTTGATATTGATTTTATTTCTTCGTTATCTAAACTTAGTAGCCCATTTTTCATCATGGATGCTACGGAGTATGAATTTAATCCCAAGTGTTTGTTTTTCTTTTCTTTTTTTTTTAGTTCCTTGAAACTTAATCTGAATAAAACTAAACCAGCGGTGAATGTTTTGTTATATTTATAGGGAAATGCTACATTCCTTAAAGAAATCTCAAAAAGTACAAATCCTCGAGAAGGATAGTAAATTCATGAGAGACCTCATCTTACCAAGTTTCCTGGGGGTTCTGGTAAAGGTCCCCTTTACGGTTCGACAATGAGAATTATCTCCTCCACAGACACCACACTTATCCTCAACCTTGTTAGAACCGATTTCTTTATCACAGCCCACTTTCTGGAAAGAGAAGATGTTAAGCATGGGTAGTTTTAATGTGCCAGCTAAAGGTGAGAATCCTAGACAATGATGAAGCATTTGTTTCACTGGGACTCCACAGTGAGGCAGTCTGCACCAAGCCTTCACTCCAGCTCTCATTTCTAATGCCTCAATCTTTCCAAGAACTACTATGAAGTCAAATGACTTGTACTCTAGGTAAATTCTACTCTAGGATCAATTCCCCCAGTCTAATGAAATATTTACCCCATTATACATAGTCATGACCATCAAACATTTACAAAGCACAGATATGGTAGCTGATACTGAACAGACCAAAAGTAAAGATGGCGTTTATTCCCCTTGTTGCTTTCTTATTTGGAAAGATGAATAGCAAAACAATGAGCTGTGCATTAGCATAAGCTTTACAAGCTGTTTAGGGATGTGAAACAAAACTTTATGAAGTGCTGGAGATTTTTATAGGACCCTCTGGAAGGCATTTCAAGAATGCAGAGGGATTAAAATAGAGTCATGGAAGTTGCTCATGGAAAGTGGGTTCAAAGAGCAATACTTAAGCCATATTTAAACCAATGAGGGGTGCCTGGATGGCTCAGCTGGTTGAGTGTCCGACTTCGGCTCAGCTCATGACCTCATGACTTGTGAGTTCGAGCCCTGCGTCGGGCTCTGTGCTGACAGCTCAGAGCCTGGAGCCTGCTTCGGATTCTGTATCCCTCTCGCTCTGCCCCTCCCTTGCTCATGCTCTGTCTCTCTCTCTCTCTCAAGAAATAAAAACAGAAAAACAAAAACAAAAAACAAAAACAAAAAACAACAACAAAAAAAAACCAATGGAAGGTTAGTGCTATAGGATAGGGGAAGAAGAGCGAATGATTTGCAAAGCACAGGCTATGAAAGGCCTCGAATATCAGGCAGAGTTTACTTTTTCACATGAATTGAACAGGGAGCCACTGAAGGTTCTGAACCGGAGCAGGATCCTTCAGTGCAGGATTATGTTATATGATATGTCACTGCGCTCATAAATTTGGAAGGAAAATGGGCAGAGAAAATGATGACCACACGTTTGATGTACCAGATAATGTGGGAAGTGAGAGATGGATAAAACTCAGATTCTACTTTTGGGGGAAATTTTATTTCAAATGTAAAGCATCTGCATACTTGAGATTCATAAATATATCAGCATAACTGAAGTGAAAAAGAGACAGACAGGAGTAACATGTTAAGAAGGATGATTTCATATCAATTCAACTTGTGAACATGAACAAAAAAAGTCAAGTGCATTTTTTTTAAGAGTCCAAATAGGGCAAAAACCATTTTTACATCTTCACCACTTTTGTTCTGATGTGGAATTCAGTGTTTAAACTTAGAATCAATTAGAAAGGGAGAGAAAGAATTTCCATTATTTTTTAAATAAAAGATAAAATACACTTAGCATTGTATTTTTGAAAAAGGCTCTGTATCATAAAAGTAGATGCCTACCAGTGAAATACTCAAAGCAAAGGCATCGTTCATTCCCAAATTGCTGTATTCCCAACCTAGATACATCAGAATAACTTAGAAAAGGCATCTGGCTAGAAATTAGGAAAAATACATTTAAATCTTGATGCTGCCAATGGCCAAATTTTGGTTTGAAAAGTGAAATTTCTCCCACATTTAGTTTAGGCCTCCTCAACTAGTCCTAGAGTCTCATTTTAATGTGATTTTACAGATAAGAAAGTGTTAAAACCTTTTGAAAGCATGCAGATGAAGGACCATAAAAGTAGAATTTCACGAAAACATATGAAGCTTCCGGGGAAGCAACTGTAACTCACCACACACTCTCCTCGAACACATATGCTGTATGGGTCTTTGTAAGAACAGTGTGTTCCATCGTGAACCAGCTGCTTCATGTACACGACATCTCCAGTCTCTCTGGATTGACAGTAAAGGTGGCATCTTTTCTTGGCTACGTAAGATGGAAGATTAAATCAGCTCTTTATATAAAACGACATATTTGAACACTACAGTTACTTTATTTTTAAAATATGAAGTTCCAACATGGTTTCCTGAAAACAAAATATTGTATACATAAATAAAGAGTAGCAGAAAAGGATGCATATTTGGCATACAACGAATCTAAACTGTGAAACTCGTTTATTTTATTCACTTTGAGAGAGGGAGAGAGTGTGCACGTGCATGAGAGGGGGAGGTGCAAAGAGAGAGGGAGAGAGGGAATCCCAGGCAGGCTCTGCACTGTCAGCTCAGAGCCGAATGCAGGGATTGATCTCACAAACTGTGAGATCGTGACCTGAGCTGAAATCAAGAGTCTGATGCTCAACTGACTGAAGCACCCAGGTGCCCCTAAACTGTGAAACTTTTGAGAGTGAACAGTGGTTGAAATAATAGTTACATAGCAACAAGTGGGAGTGTCCCAGGCAAACCGGGTTGTACCAACAACCCTGGATTTTACCACAGCTCTTCAACAAACTTTAATTCAGAGGGAGGCAGTTTACTTTTAGTGACACTTTGAGAACTAAAAGGGCTTCTCTTCTGTCTGACCCAATGCCCTGGTATAGTCAACATCTCCTATAGGATCTCATTAATTTTAATATAATTTATGTGACTCATTTCATCGAAATAAAAAAGAATGCATCTTCTTAATGCATTGCAACTCTGAATTCCTATGTGGATGCATCTTTCCCATAAAACAGCTTATAAACTGAACTTGGCAGTGTATTATATCACATGGTTATCATGTAACTATTTTTCTTTTATCCATCCAAATATGAAGTATAGCAAGATGTTCGTTCCCATTTGAACATTATTTAACCAAAAATTCATGGTAAGAAGTAAACAATTAAAAGGAAATTTTTAAAAAATTTTTTAAGTTTATATATTTATTTTGAGAGAGAAAGAGAGAGAGAACAGAAGTGGGGAGGGGCAGAGAGAGAGAGGGAGAGAGAGAGTCCCAAGCAGGCTTCACCCTATCAGTGCAGAGCCCAATGAGGGGCTCGATCCCACCACGGTGAGATCATGACCTGAGTCGACATCAAGAGCCAGACATTTAACTGACTGAGCCACCCAGATACCATGAAAGGGAGTTTCTAAGTTCATTTTCTCATAACTAGTATACAGTACAAAAGTAAAAGGTTATAAATTGGCTTTTGTTCTTAAGTAATGATCTATTTCTTGGTGCTCACTCACTTGTAAAAGAACTGTATTCTTTTTCTAGTTATTCAGCAAGGAAAGATCACACTAGTCCAGAGCATTTCCTCGTAGAGGCACTTCAGTCAAAGGAGGAAACTCAACATGTCTCCTAGGGGTTGCTTTCCACTGGTCTCTTCAGTAGCCATGGTGGGAATGCTCTTGGCCAGGAACTAGCTCACAATTCTCACCTCTCTAAAGAAAGCCTTCCTCTTCAAAACCCAGCAGGACTTACCCCTATAAACACCAAGTTCTCTAAGTTACCAACCAGATGCCAGGAGTCCAAGGGATTGGTGTGGACAAGGCTTAACCTCTGAAGTTCCCATCCACACAGTGGGAAAGAGAGAGAAGGTCCACTCCACTCACAGTCAGGATGTTCGTAGGGCAGCCAGTGGTGCTTGGTGTTGTGGTATTCAAAGTGGGAGTTCCGCTGTTGGCATTGCTGTCCTCTGAAGTCCTCGAAGTGCTTCTGGCACTCTTCTGTATTACAAAGCTGGTACTCGAAGTTAACACCAGGACAGTCCTGACCGCCATTGATGGGCCTACAGAAAAAAGACAGCACTGGAAAATGCCCTTTGGCTCTGCTCCAGCAGTGGAAGCTCGCAGACTCAGTGCCTGAAGGCAGGAGGCCAGAGTTTTGGAGCTGTAGGCACAAAGTGAATGAACTCCTACTTCCTGATTTCAGTCCCTTTCTGAAAACGCCATCCTCTCCCAGTACATGTGTGTGTCAGGTACAGGGAGGGAAGATGGGGACCAAAAACTTGACTTAAATCAGCTTTTCAAACAGTCTGTTTTGGATGTATGTGTATGGTGAAAGTATATAAAGAAATATAAAAACATATGTATCTATGGTCTGAGGGAAATAGATTTTCTGCCATGCATAAAACACATAGATATAACCCAAAGAAATCTGATCACAGCTGTAGGCCTTCGTTTTCTCATATGGCAAATGCAAAAAATAATCCCATCTTTCTTAGGGGAAAATGGAGAGGACTGAATAAGTCCACATATTTAATATACTTAGAAAGAAGCATGGCTCGCGGTGAACCTTAGCTGTTCTTACAATTTTTATTGTTTTGGTGACTTCCACTAATACTTCTGCCATCCCTTCTGTGAAGACAGGTATGCCACATTTGATCTTCTTTATAAAATGGTAAACCCTAGACCAGAAAGAATGTCCTAAGGATCTGCTGAGCATGCAGGAAGGAAGGATCCAATATAGTTAGTTTGAGGGAGCGAATGGATAGCTGTTTCCCCAACAGTTCCTTGATGTTCCTTCAAGGTCTTTCTGTTGCCCTGTTCAGATGTGTTGCTCTCCTAACCCCAGAGTGTGGGAGCCCCTGTCTGGAACTACTACCCACGCTGACATGCTTCCTGCGGACAGCCTCAGTGCCCAGGCTCTCTCTGCCTCGCTCCTAAAGATTTCTAAAGAGCAACTGTTTCAAAAACCTCTAATCTTCACTCCAGCCTTTCATCTTCACTATTGACTACTCTTCACAAGATTGATGAATGGAGATTTGCCCAAAACAGACACTTAAACCCTTGGTTTTCATGTTGTGTACTTCACATGTATTTCATGAAAGAAAATATTAACAACACAATATGGAAGCATTTTCTGGTCTAGCCAAAAACAACTCAAAATTACAGCAGTTATACTCACGTGGGATTGTTACACTGGCGTGTTCTGAAACGGACACCAGTTCCGCACGTCCGGGAACAGGAACCAAATTTGGTCCATGATCCCCAATTGCCATCTTGTTTTTGTTGATTGGCATTCTTCCACATGCAATGACCCTTATAGCACCACTTGGGAAAATGACAAAGGGCAATTATGAAAATCACGCATATGCTAAAGCTGAAGTTGTTATACAAGGGCCACCAGTTAAAGGCCTTCACTTCTTCCCCCGCCCACCAGGTAAAAATGCATTTAAAAATGAACCCAGTGCAATTATATCAATAAGGTGCCCTATACAGGATAATTTAGGCTTGCATTTTTAAGTATAAAATGAAAAAATAACATTTACTCAGACAAGTTTTTAAATGATACATTTACAATGAGCATCAAACATAACCAGTAAGAATGATCTGAGGACCCAACTTGCATAGTGGGTACTATTCTACCTTTCATCCTTTGTTAGCTGTAATTTTAGGCTTTTTAAGGGTCATATGCACCCCTTTACAATAATAACAGAAAAATATATGCCTTAACTTTGGAATTAAATAACATAACATATCTAAAGCATATATAGTATTCAGAACACTTAAATATGTTTCAAACTTTTCATTCACAATGATTCTGAGAGATAGGTCATTTATTTTATCTTTACGTTTTAGATGAGGAATATCACGGCCCAGAAAGGATCATGAGGAGGATAAGAACATCTGACCAAGAAATAATTAAGTGGGAACCACTGAACCTTGATACTATAGAGGTACCTCGCTTATAGTACCCAGCACATAGCAGGTGTTCAACCAGTATTCTTTTCCCTTTCAACATTTTGACTTGCTTTTTTATCCTATATACAATTAAAATGTCTCTTAAAACTCAAATTTGGTTAAGTTTAAATATAACACAAATATATTTAGAGAAGTTGGATGTTCAGAGTTGATGTACAGGATATATTTTTCATAAAGCAAAAATGAATTAATTCATTATTGCTCTTGTTTTTTTAGTCAAAAGTCTGTAACACTGAATTTTTCCAAACATAATGTGTTTAGCATGGTACCTAACAAAGGTTAAACACAAATAATGGCAGATATTATTATTATTATTATTATTATTATTATTGTAATTCTCATAGCAAATATAGTTCATACATATTTGGACTACAGCTTAAAGGACTTTAAAAGAACTGAAAACTATGTAAATCTTCCTTGCCAGCTTTTGGTCCTGTCTACAATATCTTATTTCCAAACTAGTCAAGGCTCTTCAGTTTGAGTTCTTAACATGCCTTTGTTTTGGGTTTGGTGATCTTTCCCCTTATGAGTAGCGTAGCTTGGCCCCTGGCCAGTTTCTGAGCATTCGATCTTGACTACACAATGTGAGATTTAAAACCTCTGGGCATCTTTCCCCAAGGAACAAGGCCAAATCTTCTGTATAAATTCACATGACTTTATTTCTGGACAACTTTCACAAGGAGTGAGACGCCAGCAAGTAAATCAAATCCCATTAGCAGGGGCACAGATATTCTGCTGAGCTGCTGTTTCCTACTATATCAGCAGTGGCTGAAGAACGGTCTCAAAGATGTCTGATTCTATTCCTTGAAATTCGTAAATGTTACCTTATTTGGCAAATGGTCTTTGCAGATGTGATTTGGTTAAGGATTCTGAGATGGAGAGATTATCTTGGATTATCCAGGTGGGCCCTAAATGCTAGCACAGTACATGTACCCTTATAAGACAGGGGCAGAGGGAAATTTGCACACAGAAGAGAAGGAGATGATGTGGCCATTGAAGCAGAGATTGAAATGCTGCAGCCACAAGTCAAGGAATGCAGGCGGCCACCAGAAACGGGAAGATGTGAGAACAGATCCTCCCCTAGAGCCTCTGGAGAGAGTACGGTCCTGTCCACACATTGATTTTTGCCCAATGAAATAGATTTTGGACTTCTGGCTTCTAGAACTATTAGAAAATAACATAATAACATTTCTGTTGTTTTTAGCACCCAAGTTTGGGGTAATTTGTTATAACAGCCGTAGGAAACAATGTTTGTACATGATCGTAATGAAACCCCATACACCATGTCTTGCACAAAAAGGACTACAGCCATGGTCATAATTTTCTAGGTTTCTAAAGATGATTATTGTGAAACATATCTTAAATCTTTATTGCATAAATAGATACACTCACTTTTCCAGCAGCACATTCAGTCCCATCAAGTGGGGGTCCTTTTTTTGTCTTACAAAAGTAGGGATTGTCAGGATGGCTACACCACAGCTGTTTACATGGGTCAAATGTTCGGAACTGGAAGAGAGAGAATCAAGATCTCAGTGACCGACAGATGGCATGTCATACCAATGTATGTGTAACCATATCTTCTATACAGTTTCTTCATGTTTCTTGGATATTTTCATTTCAAATTAATAGTCATAGTTGTGGCATGTTAAGAAAAAAGTACTGCCTAAGAATTCCAAGGAAAGAATACTTTCATTCTGCTATTCTAAAATATTAATGACAAGCAATGATTTGTCTGGGATTCTCTGGTTCACTTTAACATTTCTGCATACTATTTTTTTTTATGGTTTTCAAATAGACAACACTGGAACTTTAAAGAATTTGTAAACATTATGACCATTTTAAATACAAAAACTTATTATGATCATTTTATAGCTCTCCTTAGCCCTGTAAGTATGAGCTAGTCAGGTATAAACAATAAAAATACCCATCATAATGATCTGGCTCAAAGCAGAAAATATTTGTAAGGCTTGCTATGTGAGATCAAGTTTTCTGAGTGTTACAAAATACCACAATATATCCATATAGTTTATAACGTACTTTCCACATATTTAATCCTGAAAACAATCCATGGCTGAGAATATGAGTTACAAGGTAAGGCTGCAGTTATGGTTATAAGCGAGAAAGTAACAGTCAGACCAGCATATTAGTATTCTTATTCCTGAGAATGTTTTTTTTTTTTTTATCGTCCTAAAACACGACATTACAATATCCAAATATTTGTCTGTGCTCTTTACTTATCTGATCTCTTTGTAACTGGAAACATCTTACCATTCTCTAGATTAAAAAAAAAATCAAAACACCAGTTTATCTACATATTCATTGCTTATACCACTAATTACCCACACATAGCCTTATGGTCATAGTCTTTTTTGTTGTTGTTGTTTTTAAATTAGCACTCATTTCGGACCTGGGTTCTTGTTGTTGTTGTTCTAATTCCTATTACTTAAATGCAGAAATTGTACTTTTCCATAATATTGAGCCAAACTTTAGAATTCTCAGATCTAAAGCATTAATGTAAGTAGTAAGGGGCTGACAATGTGCACCTTACAGACAGACCAAATGGCTGTAGATATCTCCATATGGAAGATTTCAAACAGAAGATCAACTTCTTTTCAGTGCCATGAAATATTTATTTTTCTTTCTCTAACACATAAAGCTTGCTCCAACATATAAAAAGCCCTTCCTTTCTCCCCTCTCCCTCCTTTTTTTAATAAACTACTAAAACGCATTATAGAAATTTAGTGAAACATACCTCTAATCTGCATAGCTACATGGAACACTGGCTTTACTGAACTCCATTTACTATGTGCCTGCATTGTGCTAAGGGCTTTAATTATACTATCAAATTTAATCCTGGTGCCAAATTCCACGAGATAAATACTATCGTTATCCACATTTTACACCTGAGGAAACTAAGTCAGAGAGAATGACTAAAGTTCTCAAAGTTATATATGTAGTGAGATCCAGATTCTGACAACCCACCTCATCTGAGTATGAAACACACGCTCGTTACCTTCACACCATTGCTCCTGACCTTCATACTATACCACATGACTGTCATGTGAGAGAGAATACACAAGCACAACTCTTCCATCTGGTCAGAGCGGTATGAAATTCTGGCCAACAAACTAATGAAAAGCAACCTATCAAAGGCTTAGAAGTCATTTCTGAAGGTCACAAAAACCAAGGGAGAAATAGAGCATAAAGTTTCATGGCCTGACAATCTTAGTTTCAATGCCTGGCTCCCCTATTGACCAGATGTGTGATTTAAGCAAATTTTTTAATCTCTCTCAAGTCTTGGCTTTTTCATCTGTAAAATAAAACTGGTTGGCCAGTTCCCAGGCTCCCATCTAGTCTGTCACAAGGATTAAATAATAATTCACAAGGATTAAATAATATAGTACTTAGCTTCAGCACGTAGTGACACAGCAAACACACAGTCATTGATAGATAACCTTATACCTGCACCAGTGAGTCTGTGAAGCTCACCAAACAGGAGCCACGCAAATAGATTTCAAGATGTAAAATCTCAATGGACTTTGAGTAACATACCGCAGTGCACATTTTATAACCAACCCCAAAGTCAAAACGACATTGTTCATCCATAGAGTAATTGATTCCAGGAAGTTCTGGGAGTTTGGGCCAATCATGTTCAAAAGGGTCATCAAGGAGACAGTCATAGGAACTGTAGAAAGGAAAATATTTCAAGTAGTAAAGTGTTCATTTTTTTTTTTTTTAATCACATCCTAATGAAAAAGTATTCTTAGGTTACATTCTCTAGAATTCCATCACATCATATAGCAAGATCACAAAGGCATACGTTTTAAGGTTTTGGGTGTAAGTTCCATTTAGAAAAAGACCCATCATCCTTATTCATCCCAGAAATAATAAGCCAGGCATGACTCAGGAAGACAGTAGAATTTTGACAGCCTTATACATGTCTCCAGCTGAGTCCCCACATGGTGTGGTGGTGCAGATCCTGGCACTGATGCTATATCAGCATCATAGTGACACATTATGCAGGCCTCACATGGCCATCCTCTCCCTGTCCTCAACTCAAGTTTGACCGTAAGTCAAAGATGCTATAAGGAATTTACTAAAGGGAAACCACAGTTAAAAATTCACTTAAATTCTACGCTTATGGTTTAAAATATTGTGATTACATTATGGCATCATTGTGCCAAAAGCTCTGAGTCATAAGAAAATGTTTATTATGAGCAACAGCTTTCATTCACTGGGAGTTTGGTTATGATCAAGGTCCTAAAAGTCAGCTTCATGTCTGTGTTATGCTGTGACGTAAATGCTCTCTCACGACATGCAGAAGGGGACATACTGGATGTATCTCTTCAGTTCTTGGCCACTGCACCGGGACCAGTGGTAACGATGAAATGCTGCTTGCACCAAGGGGGCCATGACACTCCCCATAGCGGTCTCATCACCACACCTGTTGCCTTGGCCGTCGTGCTCCATTCCCAGCCTAGAACAAAAGGGAGACCTCCCTGGTAAGAATCAGAGGGGCCATTGGTTTTGCTTGATTTCACTCTTGAAAATCATTTGAGGGAAATACACATTCTAGAAATTAACGTGGGTTTTGTGGAAAAGTCAAAGAAACTGCAAAATAGAGAACCATCTGACAGAAATGTCTCTCTTATTCTATAGCTATGTAAAGCACAGGGGTATCTCTGCAAGCCAGAGCCACTTACTTAGTTTCAGTACATGACCTCTTCCCTGTTTTGAGCTCCTCACACTTGGCAAGGAATGAGAGTTGCAGGCTGGCATGTACTCGGCCCAAAGTGTGAACAATACTGAGAGAAGCAGGAAAGAAAAGACTTTTTTTTTTTTTTGCTTTATAGCTGTCAACAGTGACTTACACATGGCCAGTCTCATGGGCTACTACAAAAGCAGATGAAAAACCATCCTCATGATTCAGGGTACAACTTCTCACTGGATGACACATGCCGGTGACTGGAGCATATCCTGTAGAGAATAACAATTACTTTTATTTTCATTTTATGAGAAAACCCATTAAACACTACTACTGGACCTTCACCTAGAAAAAAAAAAGGCTTTTCAGGAAACAGAGGCAGTATTATTTCACTGCTAGTGTTGTGCCACGTTCTCTTGGGAAAACCACACACAGGTAACGGTCTCTAAAAAGATTCATTGGGTCTGCGTTTTCTCCTTTCCTAAGGGAAGGAACTGCCTGGAGTTACCATTCTGTTCCTCCCACCAACAAAGCCCTGTCTTTCTATTTTAGTGAATGGTCCTTCCCATGATGGTACTGATGAAGGGAGCCAGAAATTCCATCAACGTTGAAAAGAAACTCATCAGTCTACTTTTTTTCCAAAGTCTACATCAGAATTTATTAGATAAATGTAAGCTGACTTTAGAAGAAAGTTCCTTGGCAGCAATCATTTCTCATGGTATCTCCTTTCCCTTTCCAAAGAGTTAGTGGAAATCACACTGCATTTTACAGCGTCCCCTCCATATCCCGAATGCATAATCATTATTTTAAAGGCAAGTATAATTTATTATAGCATTTAAGTGGCATTTAACATTGTGAATTCCACAGAAGTCACTGGAAGCAATAGAAAGAAAGTGTATGCTTGGCTGATGCATGATGGAAAGTGATGGTAGGGATTGGAACATTTGAACGGATTCTTTGATTTAGGATTATTTTTGAAAAGTCATGCCCTTAAGTTTTTCTTCTGCATATTAATAGAAATACCTTGCATTCCAGCAGGTCCAAAGTCTTGCCTGGTTAAGAAAATTGCATGATCATGGTGTTCAGAGTGGTTGGGATCAGATTTTTGTTGTTGGCAAGCCCAGCGACACACGTTCTCCAAGCTTCTGGATGGGTTTCCCCTTTCTATTAGGCTGATGGACTAAGAGGAAACAGTGTGTTGAAGAAGTGCACAAAACTTTCCCAAAGTCTTCCTATCATAACTTTCTCTGAAGTCAACATTTGGGAGTGCAATATTTAAGGATGTTCAATAACATTATCTAGTGCCTATGTATACATCTTTTATTTGGGAATTCTAAATGCCCGTGAAGGATATCTTAAAGATGATTAGTGTTACCTGTGTGAAAGGGGAATGACACTTTTATGGGAACATGTAATGCTGACATTTGCTATCATGGGGCAACTCAATATTAATCGTTGGGGTAAGAATTTTAGTGGTCTATTACCTAATTCAGCTCAGATTTCTTAGTTTTATAGATATTAAGAACAACAACAAAAAAAGGGTTAAAGATCCTGGCATAAGACTTTTATCCAGAGCTGTTAAAGTAAACAGTCTTTCATTAACTTTTTTATTTTTATTTTTATCGGTCCAGAACTGATCAACATATGTGAAGAACACAGGTTCTTCAATGAGCTGGCAAAGCTGGTTAAACCTTCATTTTGGGAAGAGGTCAAATTATATATAAACCTTACACTGAAAAAAGCAACAACACTTTTCTTAACCTCACAGCAACGAAGAGGGATGTACTCTTATCTCGCAGTTCCAAGAGATGGACTGACATTGCTTGGAACATTGCTACCACCATATTATGATCAGGAGTTAAAAACTCAGAAGGAAAAGGGCCCATCCTTCAAGAACCAAGTATCCATACTTTCCAGAGTAGTTCTGATGGACTAAGAAATTGAATTTGGAACCCAAATTAGTCCTTAGTTGGCCAACAAGCTAAGAGTTTTGTTACATTTCAGCAAATGTTATTATCCATGTTTACATTCTGAATAAAATTAGCTTGGTTTATTATATGCTGATCACATACTTCTCCACGTAAATCCTATAACAACCAATCGAAGGCTGTTAACATCTCCAGCTGGAGTTGACTTGTATTCAGTGTTAGTGACACAAAGTAGGTCAGGTTTATGGAATAAAGTAAACATCAGTGACACCCTCTTATCAGAAAATGATAAGTGGGTGTTAAATACATAATGAAATGCAAACACATGGATTTTTCCTGTTTGCTAAATGCATAATTTCATTAGTATTTCATAATCAGGAGGATTAAGTATGGGAGTGGGAATGTGATTTTAAAACATCAAGAAAAGTGCCAAGTCAGTCCCTTTCTCAGAGGGAGAAACTATGGTCATCCATTTCATTATTTCCAAGCACAGGCACATCTACTGCCATTTTAAAGCCAGCTGAAGTTAGTTATATTAAATGAAATTCCTACTGTGTACACTTTGACCTAATTTTTTGTTTGCAAAAGGATTAAAGCTCTTCTAAATGCATATCCACTGTATACTTCACTTTCCTAAGTGGAAAATATATATATAAAATAATTGTTTTTAACAAATCATGAAAGGGCAAGGACCTTTGCTATTTTTCTTCACTGATATATTCAAGGCATCTAGAAACAAGCATCTGACACATAGTAGGCACTCAGTATAGATGTTTTGAATGAATAAGTGAATCACAAATTTGATGATAATAGTAGACTAAAGAAATTCTCTTTTCTGACAATGGTATCCATTTTTTTCACTCATACAGCCATGCCTAAAGTCAAAATATCTGAATCCATTAGTCACATGAACAAAGCAAATGGCATCAGCACAAAAATCATTATCTGCTCAGATTGGGAGATGTGTACTCATTGTGGTGGTTTCTCTTCCTCAGTCTATGTGAGACATCAGTGCCACATGTTAGCTATAGCTTCAAAAATTTAAGCTTCTGTTTGCTAACCCAGTCCTTAACATTCACAGTTTACATATTTTAGGGCATTTTACCTTTGCATAACCCAGCATTATCATGCGCACCAGGACCACATTCATATGTACTCCAAGGGACTCATCATGGTAAATTTCATTCACCTAGAAACAAAGCAGATGATTGTTAAAAGAAAGGTAACACATCAATGATTATGAGAGGCACAGCATTTCAGGGACCAGCCATCTAATCACAAGTACTAGAATCAAGTCACTTTTTTTTTTTTTTAATTTGGTTTAAGCTGAACCCTGAAATTACTTACCTTTAGCTTTGGCACAATTCTCCGATATGTGAATTACTGATTTTGTAAACCCCACAGTACCATGAACGTGGAGACTATGCCTTCAAAGGGCTTCACTAAACTATTGTTGTGTTAGAGAGAGTCCAATGTGCTATAACCCGCAATTCATCAAAAGCAACCACATGTGGGTGGTGACTCTGGCAAGAGTCTACTAGCTGTGTGGAGTCACAGCCATGTAGAGAGAATCAGACAGCAGGCATTTGTCTGGGTCCTCCTGTCACCACCACGGGTCCTAATCTGGTTGGGAGAGCTCATGGAGACGGAGCTGGTGAGCAGGAGCTGTGGTGGTTTATCTGCAGGCCAGTGAGTGGGTAGCCTGAAGTGTGCAGCTGAGACAACGGTGATTTAGAAGTTCTACAGTGTGAGAAGTCCTTAGATATTTGAATTACCAAGGTCCTGTATCAGTGTATATTAGATGAATATCACCCTTGGGTATAGCTCAGAAAAGCAAAGTCGGGTCATTCCTTTTTATTTAATTTCTAAAGTTGGGCTGACATTTCTAAAAGTGATTTGGCATGCTTTAAAATCATAATCTCAGCAACCTCAAAATCACAGTCCAACACACATTTATACAGATGAGGAAAGTGAAGACAGTAGAGATTAATTGATATGCAAAAGCCACAGTCAACTGTCGGCAGATATGAATCTAAGGTGAACCATCATTGTGTCTTCTGATTAAGACAGTGCAAAAGAAGTGTGAAAAAAAAGATTGCTTATTAAGTTGGCAAATGTTAGCAGGAATGGGAGAGGTGGAGTTATCTGATTAGATTAGAAAAATTGTTAGCTGTTCCCATGGATAGGGACCCAACATTTGTCACAATAACTAAAAGAGGGGTGGAAAACTAACTGCAATTTGACTTGAAATCCAGGAGACTTGGACAGTAAGCACAGCAAATTGAAAACCCACAGAGAAAAGATAACCATAATCTCATAGAAAGGGGCTTTAAAAAGAAATACAACTCAAGAATGATAGAATGTTCTAAAAACAATCCCACAAAATTCATGAATCATAAAATTGCAAATTACCACACTGACCAAGAAACAGACTAAGATATCTCAACTGAAATATTTCAAGAATCTAATGGTACTTGCCAGAACACCTTAAAAAAATGAAGGCCTTAAATATAGACTAAAGGCATACTTACTAAATTCAGATGGAACGAAAAAGAAGACAGCTAAGATGGAGGTAAAAAAAAAAAAAAACCTACAGAAACTAGTATATGCTAAAGAAGGCAAAGTACAGTTTGACAAGAAAAGATGTAGAATCCCCTCACACAGAAAAATGCATTGACATATACACACATACATTTTACAAATGCATATACACACATAGAATGCTAAGACCCAATTTAATCCCTGTTCAAGATAAGCCAAGGTAAAAAAAAAAAAAAAAATGTGCTCTTGCCGGGCACAGGTGTGCAGGCATGTAACCCAGGGGCAAGCTATCCCTTCTGGAGGCCAGGGTGTACCTAAAGTATTGAGTACATTTTATCTATGATATCTTGTAAAAGAGATGTTGACAAACCTGAGTATATCTAGAGAAGAATAAAAAGCAAGAAACCTAGAAAATGTGTCACATAAAGAATGGAAGATGTAATGGCCAAAAACAGAACACCAAACACTAATGGTCTCGGCTGATATCTTGGTTCAGCCCCTCATTGTGGTGTGGTCTCTATCTTTTTGAGTCTCAATAAAATGGGCATAATAAGAATACTACCACACTGGGCTAGTGCAAGAATTAAAAGATTTAACTCATGCAAACATATTGCTCAAAAAATTTGAGAGGTAAGGAGAGAGGGACATTAAGGAAGAGAAGAATATGGGAAACAGAAAAGAAAAACTTAGAAAGAAGACTTAATATCTGCCATATGAAAAAAGGCTTCAATTTATTCTGTGTATCTACAGAAAATAAAAACCTTAAGTTCAAACTATGAGAAGGACAGATTTCAGTTCAATATAAGGAAAAACTAAATGCTGGACAAAAAAGCTGTGATTTCTTGTGACCATTTGGTCACAGGCACAATCTCTTCTTCCATACCTGCCTAATTGAAGACTGAATCCCTTTCCTCTTCTGGATTAATTATCTGATAAGAAATTCCTAACATCTGAGGTGCCTGGGTGGCTCAGTCAGTTAAACGTCCAATTCTTGATTTCAGTTAAGGTCATGATCTCACAGTTTTGTGAGTTTGAGCCCCATACTGGGCTCTGTGCTGACAGCGTGGAGCCTGCTTGAGATTCTCCTCCTCTCTCTCTGCCCCTGCCCTGCTGGCACTCTCTCTGTCTTCCTCCAAAATAAATAATAAATTAAAAGTTAAAAAAAAAAATTCCTAACATTATAATGCCAATGTAAGTAAAAAGGCTGAAGCCAGGCATATCGCTCACTAACACATTCATCCAGAGACTCATGGACATTCCAAGAGACTTTTCCTAAGGCAGCTGTTCTGAATTAGCAACATGACTTCACTCACATGTACTCAGTTTAATGTAATTGAAATATAAATGCATTTGATGTAAAAAGAAAGGAAAAAAAAAAGACTGAAAGCAATGCTAGTAAATACACAAAATAGGAGAACAATAAAATTTTAAACTAAAGAAAAGTAGTTAGGTAAAAAAAAAAAAATTCCAGGGCAAGGATGATGGAAGGAGGGAGACATAGCCACTTGCACAGCAGCGGCAACAACTATAAAATGTAGGAAACACATCAGAGATCATAAATGAAGGAAAGGTGGCGATATTGACAAATAGCATATGATAGTTCAGCTAGTATAATGTACCTATAATCATCCTAAATTAGTAAATTTATCCATACTTGGGAAATTTTAAGATCAGTACAATACCAAGAAAGTATAATGGACAAAATTTAGGTTATCAATGGTAATATTATATTATAAAATGTTAGAGTAAAAGGACACTTTTTAAAAGTCAGAGTTAACCATTCACCAAATGAAAAGTATTATTTAACAAAAGTCACTATTACGCCAGGCTAATTAGACAGCAGGGTACTCCGGTAGAGACCAAAATTGATCATGGAATCTTCTAGGTTAGCACATATTTGTGAAGCTATCACGGGACATACATAAATTATTATGGGTAGAAATCACCAAATAGAAGGCAATAATATGTATACAGAGCAGAGAGTATTCTTTCAATATGGCAAACTAACACACATTAGGTATCTGTGTTACGCAAAGCATTGGATATCATTTATTATCTTGATTTTCAAAGTTTAAAAAAGTTGCTCCCTATACATTATTTACTTTAAAATGTATTTAATAATTTGGCTGCTTTCCATCTTGCTAGGCCTTATTAATAACAGGAGGCAATGTTTTTATACTCAGAGACCTATAGGATAAGAGTTGAAAAAATAATCAGCAACAAAGGATAAGATATTCAAAGACCTGGATTCCGTCCCAGCTAAGCCACTGATAAACTGAGTGACCTCAGGCTCTCTGAGTCTGTTTTCTCACTGGCAAATTATAATTGGATTTGCTGTGCCTGTTTCAAAGAGCTGTTGTCCAAATCGAGCAAAATGGCACACAACTGCTCTCAGTAAAACATGAAAAATTTTGGCACCCTTCCATCTATCCTTGAAAAAGATTTTGAAGATTTATGGATGTATTTTCATAATCTACGTGAAAAGAACAAGAAATACAACGGCCTCCTTCTTAGTTTTCACTAAAAGAGACTCAAGACTCTTTTTCTAGAAATCTCAATTGAATGAAAGATGTGATTTAAATTACATATATAATAAAATTTTGGGAAAAACCATTTGACACTTAATTTTTTTTTTTTTCAAAACTGTTTCAACGTAAAAAAGCTCTTTCCAGCAGATGGCAGCATGCACATTTTTGAGGGGGGTACAGGCTGCTACATACACCTGGAGGTACTTATTCACCAGTTGTTATGTCTGCCTTTTCCTATATTTACACATAAATAAAATCACTTCCTCAAAATTAAATACAAGTTTTAAAATATTCTAGCCTAAGGAAAACACTGAGTCATTTGACTCTTGAAAGCAAAGAAAAATGCTGAAAACATCTTTATTTAGACTGTTTTTTCAATGTCATCTATTAAAACACATGCGAAACAGAGAAACTCCAAGAATCTGACTACAAATTAATCACAAATCTTAACAATCAATAAATTATACACCGAATGAAATAAAAACATCTCACTGAATGAACCACTTGAATCTGTCAAGATGAAGTAGAATATTTGTCAAGAAAGAATTTTACAGCTCTTAGTGACAAGGAAAGCATTTTTTCCCTAAAAGCAACATCAAAAACAAACAAAAACAACAGCTAATATTATATAGAGCTTTCCAGATTCCAGACACTGCTTTAAATGCTTTATATGAGTTCAAGTAATCCTTGCAACAACTTCAGAGATCTTAGTATCTTCATTTTGTATCTAAGAAGTCGCGACCCAGAGGGGCGCCTGGGTGGCTCAGGTTAAGTGTCTGACTTCAGCTCAGGTCACGATCTCACGGTCTGTGAGTTCGAGCCCCGAGTTGGGCTCTGGGCTGATGGCTCAGAGCCTGGAGCCTGCTTCCAATTCTGTGTCTCCCTCTCTCTCTGCCCCTCCCCCGTTCATGCTCTGTCTCTCTCTGTCTCAAAAATAAATAAACTTAAAAAAAAAAAAGCTGCTAAAGAAGTTGCGACCCAGAGAAGTAACTTGCCCAAGGTCACGTAGTTAACGGACACAGCAAAGGATGAAAACCTAGACAGTCTGACTCCAGAGTCAGTGGATTTCACCATATTGCTATACTTCCTGTAGACCACAGGTCTATCCCTATGCACAAAA